AGGGTTGGCCGCAGTGATGCTTTTTACGGCCGCTGATTTTTTTTCCAGCCGCCCCCTCTCCCCCCGATGTTTTTCCAGCCCCCGACGGGAGGGAGGAGGAAGGAGGAAGGAAGGAGAAGGGATGCGCAAGATGGAGAAGCCGCTGCTGCCTGCGCGGCGGGGCCGGGAGCCGGGCCGGGCACACGGGAGGTAGCCGAGCCGGAGGACGGAGAGCAGGTAGGCGAGGGGAAGGCGAGGGGCCGGCTCCGGCCGGGGGGCTGCAGGCTGCCGGGGTCGGGGGGCTGTGCAGGAGCCGGGGAAAGCGCCCCGGTGGCGGGGACAGCGCCGGCCCGAGCATCGCCCGCACGGCAGCGGGTGGGAGCTGCGGACCGCTCCCGTCTCCATCCCTGCGGGCTCCCCCAGACCCCTAAGGGGGGGTCTTGTGAGGGTGACTTTGAGTGGGGACACCTTGCTGCTGGCTCAGGTGTGTGTCTGTCTGTCTGTCTGTGTGTCTGTCTTTCACCCCGTTTCAGATGGAGCGATCTCCCCCTACCGGGCTGCGCTCCCAGCACCGCTAATTAGAAATACACAATCCAACACAAGGCGGTACGGTAATGAGATATGCTGGGGTTTAGGCAAGAGGATAAGGGTTGTCTGTATGTCTGGACTTCACTCCTATGTCCACAGAAATAGAGAGGTCCTTTGCTTTGCAGAACTCAGCTTGAAATACATGTCACATGTCGTTGTGCCCAAGGACCTGTTTTGAATATCAGTCCTTGTGCGTGTTGGTGGGTTTCTACCCTAAGGCTGGGGGGGTTGGATATTGCAAATTTAATAAAAACTACATTCCATGATAAAAAGCATCACACTTTGTTTCTTTTAAAGTCTTCAGTGGGATGTTCATTATTTATTTCGCATCAGTATGTTGTAAACGTGAAGTCAGAACAGTGAGAAACCTCAGGACCACACACAGGTACTCAGTGTTTTCAGACATCTCGAGGAACAGGATCACCAGAGCATGTGCTAATTGTAAGATACATCATTTAGTGCTGTACAAGATGAAGCCCCAATCCTGCACACAGCTTCTTCCAGAGCGAGCCCTGAATGACGTGAGGTTCCCTGTGGCGCCAGGGCCCAAAACATGAGCGTGTTGCTGCAGTGCATCTCTGGGATGCAGATGAGGTCATAGGGAAGAGAGAAATATCTCTGAAGTCAGTACAAGTGTAGGACATGGCATCTGGGTGAATCACACTCCATATCTCTGTAGACTGCAGCCTCTAGATGATAGTATAATCACACATTATTAGCTCTGAATTTCTATTGATTTTCTTTTGGAACTGTCTTTAGGAACAATTTTTCTTTTTTTAAAAGCCTTTTTGCTGACCATTATCTGCTCATAAAAATAGGGTTTTTTGGTCAGCATTTATCATCCTTTGGCACTACCTTGCTGCTGTTTGTACCTGTACCAACTGCTGGTTGTCCTTGTCTCTTCAAGCTTGTTCCTCAGCTCCTGATGTTACAGGAGAAAACCTCAACCTTGTTTAGGTCTCTGTGACCCAGTGGCTGAAGTGCTTGAATTATAGTCATTAGGAGCTTCATGCCCCACACTTTCAAGTGCCAGATTCAAGCCTCACAAATGCAGGCCTTTTTCATGGGATCAAACCTCCTCTCTTTGCTTCTCTTCCTTGTCTTTGACGTATTTTCATGGATTTTTTTTTTTTAATGCATAGAGGAATAAATATTGTGCTCAGTTTCATCAGGCTGTTATTGGAGAGGGGAAAATACCTACTCCTCTGGCTTTGGTGAGCTCTGAATTGCTTTTCGTGCAGGAGTTTTGAGTTTTGACTGTGCAGGAAGACGTCACTGGCCTGGAGGAAGCATCTGTCCATCTTGCAGGTGTCCTCAGACAGGAAGCGCAGGCAACAGAGAAAGTGAAAGGACTTAAAAGAGGACTTACGGATTTCCTCCAAAAAATATCTCCAGCAAGCATGAAGCCTTGGATATCTGGACTGACCTTCAGCTGTCTGGACTGTATGAATGAAGTTCAAGGGCCTCAGCATGGGTAGAGTGAGCAGAGCAAACAGGAGGGCTCTGCAGAGCTATGGTCCTACCAGAGACGTAGCTGTTCTCCTAAAATGTATCACTAGTTCCTTGCTCCCCTGGCTCTTTGCCATCACACCTTTTTGCTGCTTTTCTGATCTCTCTATTTGGCTGTCCCCAATCCTGCTTCTCTATCTCTGTCTTTTCTGTGCAGGAGCAGAGAAAATAATGGAGAATAATACCCTTTTTCAGGAAAAGGCTGCTGTAAATTTGCAGATCACAATTAGCATTAGGGCTGTCACCAAAGTAGTTTTTTTTACTCAGTCCAGGAATTGTGGGTCTTTATCCTGAGTCCCCGTGGTCACAAGAGCTATAGAGGAGAATAAAGCTAGCAAAAAATGCTGCTCGTCTTTGGACTCAATAATCAATTAGATTAGTAGAAACCCATCATCATCATCATCTCTGGTTTCTCTGGGGTGGCTGAAGAAGAGCAGCCCTTTGGAGAAGGACTTGGGGGTATTAGTGGATGACAAAGTGGATATGAGCCAGCCATGTGTGCTGGCAGCCCAGAAGGCCTGCTGTACCCTGGGCTGCATCAAAAGCAGCGTGGCCAGCAGGTTAAGGGGGGGATTCTGCCCCTCTGCTCCACCCTGGTGAGACCCCACCTGGAGTACTGCGTCCAGCTCTGGGGCCCCCAACATAAGTAGGACCTGTTGGAGCAGATCCAGAGGAGGTCACAAAGATGGTCAGAGGGCTGGAGCACCTCTGCTGTGAGGACAGGCTGAGGGAGTTGGGGTTCTTCAGCCTGGAGAAGAGTAGGCTCCGGGGAGACCTTATTGCGGCCTTTCAGGACTTAAAGGGGACCTACAGGAAAGATGGGGACAAACCTTTCAGCAGGCCCTGTTGTGATTGGACAAGGGGGAATGGTTTTAAACTAAAAGAGGGTGGATTTAGACTCAATAGAAGGAAGAAATTCTTCACTGTGAGCGTGATGAGACGCTGGCCCAGGTAGCCCAGAGAGGTGGTAGGTGCCCCATCCTCGGAAACATTCCAGGTCAGGTTGGATGGGGCTTTGAGCAACCTGGAGGGCAGCTGGGGCAGGTGAAGGTGCTCCCACCCCAGGCAGCCCTGCCCCACACCCCGGGTTTCTGTTGCTGCTGATGCACCCTGTGCACATTGTCTTCTGCCAGCGACCACTGCCCTGTCACCGTGTGGGACACTGTCCAAGCCGGGCTGTCCTTGCTGAAAGCAGATGGAGCAATCTCGCTGGTTTCTGCTGTCCTGATGACACCCTCTGGACGTCTGGATTAACAGAGGGGATTTTTAACCTGTTGTGCTTCAGTGAAGACCATTGCACTGAAATGGGACTCGCTGGGGTCTGCGGAGAGTCTTTGCTTCTCACTCCATCCCAGAAGGAGGTGTCCCATCAGCCCTGCTGGGCTTTTCATTAACTTTTAAGCCTCCTGGGCCCTAATTGATGAGGAAAAGCCCCAGAGCAGTGTGCGTTGTAACCCCAGAGCAGTGTGTGTTGCTGACGAGGTGCCGGTTGCAGGGCTGGGTATTTTTGGGGTCGGACAGTTTCATGTCCAGATAAGCAAGATCAGATGGTGACAGGACTTATGGCTGTACCTTAATGCACACACACACGCACACACACACACACACACACATCAGTGGTTTATCACGGCTTTACACAATGACCCCGAGCATCCCCCGGGGGGCACAGGGCTGGCTGCAGGGCCATGGCTGCCCGCAGGGCCATGGCTGCCCGCCGGGCTCAGCTCTCCTCACGCTGCCAACACCCCCTTTCCCGCTCTGCCGGTGGGGAAAGACACCCCCTGACCCCTCCGGGGGAGACTGTGCGTGTGTGTCTGTGTGTGTGTGTCTGTGTGTGGACGCGGCGCCCGCGGGAACCCCCCGCTCCCCCCCGCGGGGGACGTTGCGGGGGCAGCGGAGAAGCCGCTCTCCGGGCCCCTTCCCCCGGCCGCCGCCTCCCCGGCTTTTGTGACTGTTTTCCTGGGGATTTTTCCCCTTTCTTGTTTTTTTTTTTTTTTTTTTTTTTTTTTTTTTTTTTTTTGTCTTTAGCATAAATAAAAAATAAAAGCAAAATACTCCTGCCTAGTTAGCACCTGCTCCCAATTCCCAATACAGAGCAAAATCTGTCCTGGAGGGAGGTTTTCAGTGTTTCTGTAATAGCAGCCCCAGCCCTTACTGTGACAATAGCAGTACACTCGAGCAGACCTGAGTGAGAAACCCAAAGGAATAATCATTTCTATAGGCTTCTATAAATAGTAATGGCAGGAAAAAGAAATATCAGTGCTTGTTTTTTTACA